AGCTCCTCTTGTCACCTTGTTGTTGTTATGTGCTTGGAGTCAGACCTGATTCATAGTGACCCTCCTTGAGTTTCCAAGGCAGTATCACTACAGAAGTAGATTGCCCAAGCTTCCTTCCGAGGAGTGGCTGGTGGTTTGAACCGCCAGCCTTCTGGTTAGCAGTCAAGTGCCTTAGGCACTACACTACCAGAGCTCCTAAGCTTAGGCACCCACAATTAAATTCAAAAATTTTTTTCTTTATTCTTACTTGTTTATCTGTCAGTACCACCCCAAAATAAAGCTTTTATCTACTTACATGCCAAGTCCAACTCATGCCTTGCATCTTCCCCATCTATTCCTTCTTCCTTAGATGACACCTTAAGCTCTAGGGTCTCATCCAGACTACTGCAAGCATCTTCCCACTGGCCTTCCTGTATCTAGTCTTCCCTTTCCACTTGGGATCTACATTGGTGGCTTTCGGATTATTTTATGGAGCCTGTGGGATAGAGGGAAGCTGAGTGGCTGGAGTTCTAGATTACTATTACTACTTCAACTAGAGAAGCAGTTTTTGCTTTATCTATACAAAATTAAAATTAAACTGTACTTAGTATGTCTTAACCAGAAAGTTTGAAAACCACTTTCAGTTTGCAGCAAACCAAACCACTTCTTTCCTATATACAGTCCTCTCCATCTCTGCTTTGCTCAAACTCTCAAATGGAATTTCCAATTCTCTTGGAATTCTGAACACCACCCTTCTGTTCTTACCTACCTCCTACTCTCAAGTATAGGTCTTTGCTGGTCTAAATTCTATTCAATTCAAATGTTATTCCTTTCATGAAACTTTTTCTGGGTCCCTAGCCAAAAGAGGAGGAGTCTTGAGTGTTGGAGACTGGGTGCAGGTGGGACTGAGACAGTGCCTTTTGGAAGAACAGAGGGCTTCCTCTGTGTGAAGAGAACCTACAGCTCCCAGTGGCACTTTCCTGGTATGGAGGAAGATAAATGTAATGATATGTGACATAGTAGGTTTTCAAATGTTTTAAAACAAAATGATGGTAGGAAGTCAAGTTAAAGATTGTTCCTTTGACTGTAAGTACTGCAGGAATTAAAGTAAGAAGACATTCATTTGAGCAGTTAGTGATGGGGAAGTAAGACTTGAGCTACCATTGAACATTGGTTGGAGAGAAGTTGGATGGACAATGGAAACAAGGGTTCTCCAAGTGAGGGAAGCAGGCTGAAAGAAGATGCAGAGAAAGCAGTGAGCAAAGTCTGGTCTGGGGAGGTGAGGAGAGAGGTGTAGTGACAGTACAACTGGATACAGAGGCTGAACCAAAGTGTGGAAATCCTTGAAGTCCAGATGCTTACCTGTGAAAACTTAGGAAATAGCTATTGATGTGATAAAAGTGTTCTGGTAGGATTAGTCAGGAAGTTATGTGTGAGTGGATTGTGGAAGTAAAAGAGAGGGAATGTGTCAGCGGCTTTTATTTGAGGTAATGAGGTTTTATACTCTGACAGAAAGATAAAGAAAGGACCATTGAGAGTAACTTTTTTTCTAAGTGATCATCAGGGCTTGATGCTAAGATGGTATAGCAGCAGGGAGTGTCAGAGGTTTTGTGTTTTGGAGCCTAGGAGAATTGTGGTGGTATTTAGATGGATTTAGTAGGTTGTGAAGAGGAGCTGGTGTGTGGAATTAGAAAAAGAAGACCTGTTTTTAAAATTGAAGCTGCCTCATCTAACTCAATGAGTCTAAGAGTTTTAAGGGCAGTTGGAGGTATGAGACCTGCAGCCACTTGTGATGTTTGGAAAACCATTACAGTGCCGCTGGAACATGTACCAGATTGCAAAGAGTACAAGAAGATAGTAAAAAAGTGAAGAATTCTTAGATGACAGCTACTTGTTTGAAAAATTAGAAAGGAAGCAAAATATGTGGTAATTACAAGGGACATTAAGTAGAATTCTTAAGACAGGACATAGAGGCCAGCAGGTTGATTCCTTAGAAATTCTTCTTACCAGAGAAGGGCAATGTACCAAATATGAGTGACCAATATGGCAGCATTGAGGATGAGAAAGACATAGAGAAGTACATGGGAGGTACAGACAACAAATATGAACCCTTTTGCACATACAGTACTGCGTTGTCAGTGAAGGCAAACATGGGTATATGATGGATAGATGGGTAGACAGGCTAAACGATTAGGTATGTCTATGAAATGGGGAGTGTATCCAAGAACATATATAGGGTTGGCAGACAATGGTCCTATAAGTTTATGTGAATGATCAGAATTCCCAGGTGTATAGTAGAGCTGACAAGGGGCAAGGTTGTGGTCACTGCTTGGTTGCAGCCAGCTACCCAGAGGGACTGAGTAGTTGAACCTGCAGGCTTGGGACCATAGTCACAGGGGACATCAAGCTCAATTGGCATAACATACTATACAAAAAATGTTCCACTTCCTACTTTGGCGAGTAGCGACTGGGATCTTAAAAGCTAGCAAGCTGCCATCTAGATGCAACGATGAGTCTCTCCTCATCCAGAGCAAAGAAGAATGAAGAAAAACAAAATTTCGCAGAAACAATTAGTCCTAGCGACTGGTACACCATCTGTTCTACAGCCTATACAACTATGAGACCAGAAGAACTAGATGGTGCCCGGCTACCACTGTCATCTCCTTGGAAGGGGATCTATGTAGGAGATCCTTGATAGAGAGGAAGAACAATGTGGAACAAAACTCACAATCATTTGGAGAAAAAAAAAAAGGTAGGGACCAGGTTTGCTGCTCTGATAGAGCCTGGTGGAACCACTGAGACTATGGCCCCTAGCTGCCCTTCACGTCTGGAATTGAACCCACATCTGTGGTTTTCAGCCAAGCAAAATACAGGCATATGAGTTAAACATTTACCTCAAGTAAATACACTCCTTGGAGAGAACAATCATGGGAGAAAGAAGGGCTGCTTATGCACAGGGAGACAGCTCAGGGCGCAGGAGTGTGTATGGAGGGATGGACACTGGGAAGAGGTAACTATGGGGAGGAAGTAGAAGGGGAGCTGTTGCATTGTGGTAAACCGTGGTCAATGACATGAGATAAAGTGTATGTGAACTGCTGTATGGAAAGTGAATTTGCTCTGTAAATCTACCCAAATCACAATTTAAAAAAAGGAAAAAAAAAAAGAAAAGAAATTCTTCTTACCAATATATGATCACCAAGGTCATATTATATTTGTTCATCCATTTATCAATATGAGTGCCAGGCATCCTGGCCACATTTTCCTTTAGAACCTGAGCAGCCCTTTAACCCTTTCATGATCAAATTATTTTCTGCTTTGAATTTTTTATTGATACCATATGCTTTCAATAATGGAAGACCTGCTGAAATCAAGGAAAAAAAAATTTTTTGAGTAATAATGAATTTTGATACAATTATGTGGGACACATATGTCCCAACTGGACTCTGGCTGTAGAAGTGATGGGGTTAGGCCTGTTTCTTCAGACTCATGCAGTTATACAGGTTCCTGCCAGGCAATAGCACACACTACAACTCAGATAGCAACTTATCAAGAAAACTGAGAAGCTGAAAATGTTGTGGGTGATATATGCCCCACAGCTTATGAGAGGGTTAACAGTGAATACTAGTGTAGCAATAACAGGGCTTAAGCTAAGGACACCTGGCATAATAAATCATGGTCTTTTCTTCTTTTAATTCTAGCTTAAGTACCTTTCCTTCTTTCCTATGGGAAAGTTGCAGATCTGGTGATAGGCTGTGCTAAAAACCAAATCCACTTCATTGAATCGATTCAGACTCATAGTGACCCTATAGTTCTACAGAGTAGAACTGCACCATACAGTTTCCAAGGCTGTAAATCTTCATGGAAGCAGATGCCTCACCTTTCTCCTGCAGATCAGCTGGTGGGTTTGAACCGCCAACCTTTTGATTAGCAGCTGAATGCTTTAACCACTGTGCCACCAGAGCTCCTTGAGATATGCTAAGTAAGGGGCAAATTACACCAGAGTCACCAAGTATTTGATAAGGATCAGCATGAATCCAATCCCTAAAATGTGAGGACTGACCTAGACCTCATTTTCCCACTTCTCCATCCTTGTCACCAGCCACTCACACAGCACATTCTCTCTCCCACCCTAACCACCTGGAGCTGGGTCAGAATTCACAAGTTAGAAAGACTTTATCCTTCAGACCAGCTACCCATGCAGCACTTCTCTGACTGTAGCCACCTGGAGCTGTGTCAGAGCTCACAAGTTAAAAGAACATCATCCTTCAGGCTGCCAAATAGGCAGACATCAGTTGTAAATTTGAGGACTCCACATAACACCCTAACCTTCTGCTCTGCTGGCCATAGATTCAAGACTAGTTTTCCACTATCCCTTCAGGATGCCAGCCCAGAAGTCCACATAACACCCCAGCCTTCTGCCTTGCTGGCTCTGACTACTGCTTTGGGTTCAATAATTCACTAGAATGCACGACTCACAGAATCTTGTGGAGAGTATACCACATTTATAGCTACAGATTTATCACAGCTGAAAAGGATACAAATGGAGAGATGCATAGGGAGACGGCTGGGAGGGTCCCCAAGGCAAAGCTTCCATGTCCCAAGGAATGTGCTACCTTCCCTATAGCATACGTTCTTGCTAACTAGGAAGGCCTCTGAGCCTCCATGTTCAGCGTCTTTATTGGCCTCACCACATGGTCATGCTAGATCAAACCATGCGTCCTAAGGCCAGTCATTGTTGGGCCGCCAGGTGGTCCCTCTTGGTCTGGTAAGCCCCTTACTCATTAGCCTCAGGTGTGGTCCAGCCTGAAAGAACCAAGAACAAAGGCCAAATTGTTTTCTGCAAGCTGTTTCCACACTTCATGTGGGGTGATTCCAGCTGTGTGTTCCAAGTGCTGCTGAATGTGAATTCTGTAAGTCTCCAGGATCACTTTTAACAATGTGTTGTTTTTATGGTCACAACAGGTAGAGTGGAACCCTCAGCTCTTAGAGGTCCCTCCCCAAACTCAGTTTGATTACAGTGTCACCAGTCTGGCTGGTGGCTCAAAACCACATTCTCCTTTCGACTCTCAGTACCATGGGACCATACTGAAAGTGAGTAATGCTTTCCTGTCTGGGAAAGGGTCAGTGTTTTCCTCTGGGCTGGGTACATCAGTCCATCGGGTGTTTCACCTTACTTCTTTTTCTCCCTCACCTCAGGGGGGCATGTTTGCTGGGCAGCTGACCAAGGTGGGCATGCAGCAGATGTTTGCCCTGGGAGAGAGGCTGAGGAAGAACTATGTGGAGGATATCCCTTTTCTTTCCCCAACCTTCAACCCACTGGAGGTTTCGTAAGTTACTTGAGAAACGGATGCTACGCCCAAATTAAGGACCTGAGCATGAGAAAACCTGTACTAACCCCTGAGGTGGTTCCCACTCTCAACCATAGTAGTTTAGGGGACAACCTGGGGTTGTCATGATGCAATTACTCTTATGTAACAGGTGGTCACTGGCCTTCAGGATTTCCCTTGGGGCATCCATCCCACACAGAGAGAAAGCATTCTTCCTAGCCCTGTGACTCCCCTCACGTGATCTTGAAAGCCTACCACCTGCTCTGAGGGATAAGCTAGGGTGTATATAATTAAGTGTTCCTTTTATAAGTGTCTCTACCGTTTTTTTTTTTTTCTAGTGTTCGTTCCACTAACATATATCGGAATCTGGAGTCTACTCGGTGTTTGTTGGCTGGGCTTTTCCAACGTCAGAAAGAAGGTTCGAGTTTGGGATCCAAAACGCAGCCCCTTGCCCCTGGGGAGCTTATTCTTCTGACTTCCAAAGGCCCATCCCTCTCTCAGTACCTGTTTCCTTGGTTTCTGCCCTGCACGTGTGGCTACCATAGTGTATGTACTCTAGTGGTCCCTTTCCCGTCTGGCCTTAGGCTCTCCTCGCCAGCCTGACCTCCACACCAGCAGCAGTGCGTCCGCTGCTTTCTCGTGTCTCTGGCTCCTGACTTCTCCTCTCAAGCTTTCACATGAGCTGCACCAGGCAGCCCTCACCAGGTCTGGGGAACAATGTAGGAGGCTTTTTGCTCAGGTGAACACTGCTGAAGAGGAGGGAGGCCAGGAGGGACTCTTAGCCGGAAACTCTGCCTGCTGCTACTGCTCTGGTCTTTTTCCTAGTCCACAGCATGAGCCACATGTGTGAACAGTATTCTGCTCAGGTTTTCCTAATTGAGAAAGTCTATCGAGTTTGGGTTTAATGTATTCAGCCAGTTAATGATTACAGTCAGTGGTTCACAGTCTTTCACTACCAAGAACCACCGTTGTTATTTTCCCTCATGGATTCCACAAATTGAAGGCTTTTGTCTATCAAATGAAGCTGCATTTTATCATCTGTAACTGATTCAAATTGACGTTTAACTGCTGGTCTGAGTTTCAGATCAGTATGACCTCACCAGTGTTAAAATGCTAGAATGGTGCCGTGAGGCAATAGTTCCTGTTATTTTGTTTAGCTTTTTCAGCAGTACCTCAAATAGATATAAGATTTCCATCAGGCTTTTAAAAAATGTAAAGTAATAGGACCTTCAGGCCAGAGGAGGTAGGCCTTACCCATCTGGGTTGGGTGCTGCTTCTAATTCTGGCTATGGTTGGCTATTGAACACAAGCTGCATCTACCTGGGTGACATAAGGCAAACTGGATGGGCTGCTGCTTATTTCTTGGGAGTCTCTGAGTGAGCTGAGGAGTGTACCATAATGTCTGACCTGAATGTGCTTCACTTGCTCAGATTCTAAAAGGCAGATGTCCTCAGAAACACAAAAAGTGTGACTAGCCCAAGAAGGATGTTTCTTGACAGTAGTCTGATTCACAGTCCGATCTCAGACTGAGGTTGCTCCAGAGTCCAGCAAGGAAGGAAGTGGTATCATAACCAGCCTTTTGTGTGGCTGCCTGCCTAGTGGCTCCCTGCACTGGACTCAGAGGTCTTGGGACCCTGTAATTACTTTCAAAGCTTTACCCAGTATCAAGGGACTTGAATAGACTAAGGAACCCCAGAAGGTGCCACCATTCATGGAAGTGATGCAACTTGGTGGGTTGCTTCAGGAGTGAAAAATCCTGGCAAAATCACAGACGGTTATCTTTAAGCTACAGAGAGCTGGGTTCTGCTGGTGTGCCCTAAGTACTTGGTGATTCATTCATTCATTCATTCAACAGCTGTTTGAGTGCCTGCTATGAGCCATGTTTATCGGAAAATGTGGATCCAATATCAGACTCCAAGCTGATGCCAATTATCATGTGTTATATTAGATTCTTAAGTCATAATCATTGCTGTTATTCTAACACTAAAAATTAACAGTGCACCAGGCATGTTTCTAAGAGCTTTGCATATATTAACATGTTTGATTCTTGCTGTAACCCTGTGAGATAGGTATCCTTATCCCCACTGTAGGTAAGAGAACCTAGGCACAGAGAGGCTAAATGACTTTCCCAGGGTCCTGAAAACTAATGGTAGAGCTGGGTTTCAAACTCTGGAGTCTGATTTCAGCATCCATACTGCTCACCTTTGTGCTCTACTGCCTCTTAGAGGACATGTGTCTGGAGAACACCTCTGGTCATTTGGTTTCTTCCGAGTCTCAAGATTTTTCAGAGGGGTCTCAGGAACTACAGGAAAGGAGGGGTAGGAAATGCAAATGGACTATGCTTTGTATGTTGGGGGTGGATCTCAAAGCCATTCACATCTTTTCTTTTGTTACTTTATATAACAATAGGAGGAAAAAGGGGAAGGGTCCCACTGCTTTGAAACAACTGAAAATCACTGGTGTAGTTCCACCCTTTCAATTTATAGATAAGCAGCTTGAGCCCCAGAGAAGGGAAGTGACTTCCCAAGGCTGGCTAGTTGTGGATTCAATATTAAACTATAGGTCTTAGGACCTCCAGTGTGGTTTTCTTTTTCTGTCCAGACCAACAAAATGTGCTCAAATTCTGACATTCTAGTAAAGTTATCATAGGCTCCTGTTAAAGTCCTGGGGTTTTGACCATCAGTAATTTCTTTGGGAACAATAGCTCTTACTCTAAACACTCTGTGGGTTGACCTCAGTGAACTCCAGTGAGCTGCTGATGGGAGCTATTTCTTTTACCAGCAGACAAGCCAGGCTTTAACTATGTGGAAAGGTGGGGGCTTACAGGGAAACTGCCATAGGCTCTGGCCATCTCTGGCACAGAGAAAAGCATGAGAAGGTGTTAGAATGCCTTCTTTGGGCATTGATAGGCAGGATCAGGGGTACTTCTGGGCCCTACGCAGCAGGGAGCTGCTGTGAGGCATGTAAGAAGCATTGTTTGTAGTCCGATCTTTGATTTCGGGCAGTTCATCTACAAGTCTTGCTTTCCATTTGTGTAAGACCACAGAGTCTGAGAAGGTTTGGATGCTCCCCAGCCTCAAGACTATAGTGCTCAGTTTATCATGTGATAAGTCACCATATGGGTCCATAGGCTTGGACTTTGGCAAGCAAGAAAGGAAGCTTGTTGTTGTTGTTATGTGCCGTCGAGTCGGACCCGACTCATAGCGACCCCTCCTTGGGTTTCTGAGGCAGTATCACTATGGAAGTAGATTGCCCCATATTCCTTCTGAAGAGTGGCGGGTGGCTTTGAACCATCAGCCTTCTGGTTAGCAGTCAGGTGCCTTAGGCACTATGCTACCAGAGCTCCCAGAAAGGAAGCTAGTTCTGATAAAGTCAGGAACAACTCATTCTTCATTACCATGTCCAACTGCTGGTAGTGCTTTGAGGCTGGGATTTTCTAGGCTACCTTTGGAATGCAGCAGGGAAGTGCCAGTCTGATTCCGGTCTGTATCTAATCAAATTGACCTGTGGCCCAATTGGAGGGGTGGTGCTAGAGAGAACAAGGCTGCTGCCTGCTTTTTCTCCATTACTCAGGTCACAGGAAAGTTCCTGCTAGCAGAGCCAGGGCATGTTGAAAGCAGTCACTGTTCTTAGGGAGTAGGCTTGATCATCTGCCTCCTGGAACAGCTTTCTTTCTAGACAGAGGGTTGGAAGAGGGATGTGGATGCTGGGAAGAACCGAGCTGAGGCCTCTTCCTGCCTGTGCTTTCCTCCTCGAAGGACCCATCATTATCCACACTGATGAAGCAAGCTCTGAAGTCTTGTACCCCAACTACCAAAACTGCTGGAGCCTGAGGCAAAGGACCAGGTAACAGCCTCTGGGTTCCCCTTCACCAGCAGGGGACATCCTTTTACCAACTTTGCTGGCAGGAGTCTGCCTGTACTGAGGACACATCTAGGTTTACCCTGCTGGTGGATAAAGGTTGGAAGGCATTAAGTTACCCTCCAGGTCTGATGTCCACTGTCCAGGAAGTGAAGAAACTTGCTCACAGTGGCAGGCTCATAATGAAGGTTCAGGAAGCCTGGGGAAAGCCAATTCCCCGATGGAGAGATGACTTATATAGCCCTTGGCAGGGGGGTTGGTGTGAGGTGCGGAGTTTTGCTGTTTACAAAACATTATTCTCCCAATAGTCCAGGGCAGATAAGGAAACAGGTTAGATGAAAGATGGTTGTGTCAGTCATCAAACTGAAAATCCATATGTGTAAGCAGAAGATACCAGTTTCCCTTTTCTTACCAATGTACTGCCTTGTAGGATGAATCTGTTTACATTGATGGAACTTTTTAGTTTCAGATACTTCTTGGCTGCACTAAGACTATATAGTATGTGTTCTCCAGAAGAAAGAGAATGCTGTTTTCAGATAGACATGGACCACTTTTGGTATAACAGAAAACATCACCAGAGTTGGATTTGGAAAATTCAGATTTTGATTCTAGCTCTTACTTTTACAAGTCATTCAACTTCATGGAGCCTCAGTTTACTCATCAGTAAAGTGAGAGTGATACCAGCTAATATCAGTGGGTTGTTGTGATGATTAAATGAGATCCAAAATGTTGAATGAAGTATACTTTGTGCAGATTTTAAGCACTACACACTATAAGCAATTTCTTCTTTTTCTTTGGCAGAGGCCGGAGGGAGGCTGCCTCTTTGCAGCCAGGAATCTCAGAGGATCTAAAAAAGGTGAAGGAAGGAATGGGCCTTGGCAGTGGTGACGGGGTGGACTTCCTCATCCTTCTGGACAATGTGGCTGCTGAGCAGGTGGGATGCCTGTCTGCCCTAGACCCAGGGGCTAGGGGAGCCTGGGCTGGGCACCTAGATGGACTGGCTCCTGAGTTACAACCATAATGGAGAGAAGTGGAGGAGGCCTCCTGTTTTGGAGGTAGCCATGGGTCTTAGTTCTCTAGGGCTGCTATAACAGAAATATGCCACATGTGGATGGCTTTCACGAACAGAAATTGATTCTCTCACAGTTTAGAAGTCCGAATTCAGGGTGGCAGCTCTAGGGGATGGCTTTCTTTCTGTCAGCTCTTGGGGGGAGGTCCTTCTCTCAATCTTTCCCTGAGTCTAGGAGTTTCTCAGCACAGGGACCTAGGATTCAAAGGATGCACTCCATTCCCGGCTCTTCTTTCACGATGGTAGGAGGTCCCTCTGTCTCTGCTTGCTTCTCTAATTTCTTATATCTCAAAAGAGATTGACTCAATATATAACACCTAATCCTGTAGATTACATCCTGCTCCATTAACATAACTGCCTCTAATCTTGCCTTATTAACATCATAAAAGTTAGGATTTACAATACATGGATAATTATTAATCACAAAATGGAGGATAATTACACAATACTGAGAATCATGGCCCAGCCAAGTTGACACATATTTTCAGGGGACACAAATCCATAACACCATGATGGGACTTGTACAGGGAGTGGATATGGGGACTGAGGGGTAGAAAGCAGTCAGGGAGGACTCTTCACTCAGGAGCATAGACACTGAATTCTAGCACATTGTTTCTTAAATTATGAATCCCAGAATCCCTGTTCCCTTGCTTTCAGTGTGTGTCTTATTAGTGGGTGGGGTGGGTATGGAGGGTCTGTCATCTAAAAATTTTGGAGTCCCTTCTTATTGTATCACTTTTGGAAGAACCTATAAGCACATCAGCATATTTTAGAAATCTGAGAGGCCCGTGGCAAAAAAAAAGAAACCTAGTTAATCTTGTTTAAGTCTATTTTCTCTGAACTTATTTTAGCCATAGACTCTTTTCCTTATGGAATAAATGCTGAAGAACACACAATGGGAAATGCTTTTCTAGATTCAAAAGTCAGGCACCCAAAGGAAGAATAGCCTGGATCCTCCTTCCTTCCCTTGTGAAAGCGACAGTGCACCTGAAGGCAGAACTGCACCTGTGCTTATGTGTGAACAGCGAGCCTCTTGTTAGGATGATGAGGCAGGGGTTTATGTAAAGTGTTTATGGCATGCTTTTTAGAATTCATTTTGGGGGAAATGAAGGCCAATAGAAATTTATGAATATTTGTCTTTTTTTTAAGCTTAAAACAATATAACTTTTTTAAATTACTATTTTAGAGTAGATGGGAAACCATTAGAAAGGGGGGGGGGTGTTTTTTCCATTCACTGTGATAGAGAACAAGGAGCCACCATACTACTGTGGTTTCTTCATCACTAATCTTTCCCTTATGCCTTCAGATCTCTAGGACTAGTGAGAGAAAGGCCTTGGGGACACAGCTTCTTGAGCTGTTAAAGCCCTCCCCAGGAGAAGACAAGCCCCTGTAGCTCTATGCAAGTGGTCAGTTGTCATGCTCAGCATTTCTTTCTCAAACCGGACCTCTGGCCCTTTCAGGTGCATAGCCTCCCAAGCTGTCCAACACTGAAGAGGTTTGCACAGATGATAGAGGAGAGAGCTGTGGACACAGCCTTGTACATCCTGCCTGAAGACAGGTGAGAGGCTTTTTTAGATGTTGGTGTAAAGTCACACTTGATCAGGCCTCTGAGTGTGTGGGGAAGAGGGGTTCATCAGCCCATTCACACCTACCACCTAGCATTTCCGTGTGTGAAGAGGCTGGAACAAACCCGTTCTGCTCCCTACTGAATGGGCTTGACCCTAGGACCCTATGCTACGGGAGCTGGGACTGGTGACCTAATAGTTCCATTCACTGTGACACAGAACAAGGAGTCACCACCCTATTGCCATTTCTTCATCACTAATTTTTTCCTTTTGCTGTAAATTTCAAAGGATATGGGTGGGGGAAGCTGGAAGAAAAATAATTATCGCTAACTTTGTTCATTATGTCATAATTTACAAATCATTTTCTTGTTCTCACTGTGAGGTAAGTGTCACTATCCCTGACTTTATATAGAAATAGTTGTTACCTTGCGTACGTTCCACTGGCAAGTGGTCAAGACAGAACTTAGACCCAGATCCTCTGACTACAGATCCTGTATTTTCTCTATATTACTGCTTCTTAGGGCTCTGTTTTTAGAAAGCCTATTTCCTGACCACCAGAATGAATGTTTATTTCTTACTCAATTATGAAAGACACTTTTTTCTGAGATCGGTTGAGAGCATTCAACTTGCCCTCAGAATAGGTACCTTGACAGAGAGGGGAGAGATAGGAGGTAGAGGAATAGTCCTGGGAAAGGTGAGTGGGAGGAAAAAGCATCTAACGTTTCAAGAATTTGCATGGTCTGCTGCATAAGAATAAGGGCCTCTCCTTGCTTTCCTCCCACCAGAGTCAGCATGTCCACTGCTACACTAGCCTCCTGCATCCAAGAGGCTTCAGCCAAGCCACCTGGCTTGCTGCCACTGCCTGCGACTTATCAGCTTCCTTCCTCTCTTCCCGCTAGACCTAAATTGTCACCTGCTGTCTTCCCTCCAGGATACGTGCACATATTTAGTAAATTTTTTAGGCTTTACAGGCTATGCAGTGTCTGTCACAACTGTTCATATCTGGCTTTGTGTATGAAGCAGCCATAGACGGTATATAAACAAGTAGGCATGGGTGAGTTCCAGTAAAACTTTATTTATAAAAACAAACAGGCAGACCAGATTTGGCATGCGGCTATATTTGCTTTCTCCTGATACAAAATATTTAAAACAGGACCTGATCCACTCTTTTCCATTCCAGTTAGCCCATGTCTCATAAAGCTGTTGTTTCTTCTAGGCCAAGTGGTTTCAATGGCACAGTGCATTCCAACTCAGCTTGGCCTGCACACATTTTTTCTAGAAAAAGAATGTAGCCTATGGTGTTGGTTGCCTACTCCTCGTGCATTGCTCCAACATTCCTTGATTTATAAAGGTGACAATTTGCCCAGTTGCCATCAATAAAGATTGTTCTAAGCCAATCATGGTGATTGTTTTGTCAGTGATTGACTTAGGGATAGTTCTGGGTTTTCTGGGAGAAGTTTTTTCCTCTTTGATAAAAAGTGGGAGGCACAAAAACACCGTTAGCTGCTTCCCCTACCTCCCACCTCTTCTGACTTTGTTTACTTGCTCGAGGACATGCTTTGAGTTGCAGTCGGCACCTTGTGATCTTGAGGTGGGAGCATGGGAGTGAAAGTGGTGGAGCCACAGAGCTAACTGTGGGAGCACTACCTCTGAACTTCTTGTTACATCAAATATTAATAAGAAAGCCCCTATGGTCTAAACTCAGAAGAGAAGAGGGATGGCACACAAAATTGTAGCTTATGATGTTATAATAATATTTCCTTCTGATCACTTTCCTAAGGGTTTTCCTGGAAATCTCGACACTTTATCCTTCCTAGCTTTGTTCTTTTGTTCCTGAAGGTCTAGTTCGTTGTACCTTATCCCAGTTGCCACTCTTGCACTCCTCCTACCCAACCCACATCTTGATTGCTTTTGTTGTTGGAAGCCTTTGTTGACAGAGAAGCCTCAAACATGAGGCAATGCCATTTCTCTCCTGTCATCTTCCCTCCTGCATTTCCTTTTTTCTCCACTTTCTCTGGTTGAGCCCATGAGGCCCTGGGGGAGGGGTGCTGAACCAGCTGATATCTCCCATGTACTGAGTGCCCCCTGGGTGCTTAAATGTTGTTCACTTGACACAGGGAAAGTATTCAATTGATGGTAGGCCCTTTCCTCCACATCCTGGAGAACAACCTGCTGAAAGCCATGGACCCTGCCACTCCACCCGGCAAGATCAGGTACTGTCACAACTCTGCTTTGTGCTTCTGTGGGGTGAGGGCTGCAAGGAGGGAACCCAAGTCTTAGGTGACAAAAATCAGGCTCTCAGTTGACTTAAGGTGGGTGTTTAAGAGGCCCTGGGTCCTGCAGGTAAAAGTAAAAGAAAATTTTCCTTTTCTTCCTACCACATGTCTCCTACCATATTACAAAATTTTTATTTTGCAAAAAAGTACCCTAAATTTATTAAATTTATTTTTCCATTTTTTACTAATTGAACATATGTCCAACACAGTAGTTAATCATGATATCACACTCATTTGATAGTATAACAGCCCCAAAAAAAGATAATTGCTCCATAGTTGTTAAGTCTGAACACCCTCATTGAGGGTGTAAAAAAACCAAAAACCAAACTCACTGCCACTGAGCTGAATCCAACTCATAGTGACCCCTCCTTGGATTTCTGAGGCAGTTTCTCTACAGAAGTAGATTGCCCAATCTTCCTTCCGAGTAGTGGCTGGTGGGTTTGAACCACCAGCCTTCTGGTTAGCAGTCAAATGCCTCAGGCACTACACCACCAGAGCTCCCCATTGAATGTGTAGAAGGGTATAATATCTGTTAGGTACTGGAAGTTGTTGGAAGTGGTTTATGAACCTCCACTGCTACCTTCATAGAGCCTAAAACCCCAGGTTGGGGAACACCTGCTACTCAAAGCGTGGCCTGCAAATGAACAGCTGCAGTATTACCTGGAAGCTTGTTGGATTCTCAGGCCCTCAGGCTGAAGGTCCTCAGGTGATTTGCATGATGCTTAATGCTGAAGAAACACTGTTACAGGCTTCCTTCTTGACTGAGAGAGATTACACATGGAGACTTTTGATGAATGTGGACGGGGTAGAAGACAGGACCATTCAGGACATTGGGCCGGGGTTTATAATAGCAAATCATGTGAATACCCTGCCCTGCCCTTCACAGTACCTGTGATGACGGTACATTACTTGCTGGCTTTTGCCTTCTTGCCACTCTGTGGATACTTCTGGGTCTAATGCTGGTCTTCTAGGGTAGAGGATCAATAAATAAAATCATTGATCTTGTCCAAGAGAAGATGCAGAGGTCAGACAGATATAGATGAAAATGGTACCTTTATTACTGATTAAAGCCATTTGGAAAATGGGATGAGGGCTAAACAGGTTTATTAATATTCCTGTAAAATGAACTTAATTCTCCCAAACTGCAAGCCTTCCCTGCAAGGGGCAGAGCTCGCATCACATGGCTGAGAGTAGAGTATTCACTATAAGCAGGCTGGTCCCAAAGAGAGAAAAGAGGTGGAGCCTAAACTACACATGCTCAGTTCTTTCTTCTAAGCTCACCAGAGGAGGAGTGAGCCAATGAGTGAGCAGGAGACCAAGCGGGTGGGTGGGAGCCTGGAAAGTTATTCCAGAGGCTGGGGAGGTCCCACCTCATAAAAACATGAGAGATAGGGAATAGGGTTCTCCCCACCATCTATTTCAAAGGACTTTTATGTAAGGCTCAACTGATTTCTAGGTGTCACCTGGTTTCTGAGGAGGCAGGCAGTGTCCTGGCTTCCAGAGTCCTGAGGAAAAGAAATATGGAGAATTGTTTATTCTTTGCAGAAAACTGTACCTCTATGCAGCTCATGATGTGACCCTCATGCCTCTCTTAATGGCCCTGGGGATTTTTGACCATAAATGGCCCCCATTTGCTGTTGACCTGACCATGGAACTCTACCAGCACCAGGAATCCAAGGAGTGGTTTGTGCGGCTCTATTACCATGGAGAGGTAAGACCTCTGAGGTAGGATTGGGTGATTAGGCACCATCCTCTCAGCTTTATCCACCTTGGTTTAGCACCAAGTCTCCCTCCTCAGGCCCAGTACAGTCTCCGGTGATACAATCATCTCTGTGAATCCTGTTAGGTGACCCAGGGATACAGCAGGACTTGGTACATGGTTCTGTTACAGACTTCTACTTACAGGGCCACCTTCCTTCTTTACTCTTGAGTATCTCTGCCAGGATGGTAATATCCTGACTGTGAAGCCTATATGAAAATTAATGATGGTGTCTTTGGGAGGTGGTGTGAGCACTCTTCATGTCTTGGTGGCTCCATCACTGTGTGCCCAGTGCAGAATGCACAGCCCTCTCCAAGGATCATGAGACCTTAAGCTCTCCTAGCTCAATGATATAACTTGACTGTGTCTTCTCCCATCAGTTCAACACATATTTCTTGACTGCCTTTTATAAGCAGGATTGGTATGTTTAATCTGGAAGCTGATTGGGTAGTGTGTGCCTCTTAGACCTCTGGACTCAGCTGAAAGCAGCATAAGGAAAGGTCCTCAGTGGACCTGCTGAGTTATGTCTCTTCCACAGGAGCAGGTGCCAAAAGGATGCCCTGAAGGACTCTGCCCGCTAGACAAGTTCTTGAACGCCATGTCCGTTTACACCTTAAGCCCAGAACAATACCACAGACTCTGCTCCCAGACACAGATGATAGAACTTGGGAATGGAGAGTGATTGGTTTATATAAATAGGATTTGTTGATTTTTAAAATAAAATGTCTCTTCACAATGTCTCAGGCTAATGTGTATTTGGTGAGGGAGACAAAGGGTTAATGCATAGGATAAGGATATTTACTCCCTGTAGGAGATCTCTTCCTGAAAGGAAAAGGGGTGAATTGTTGAGACTAAAGGGATATGTCTCTATTTTGTGGCTTGATTTTCATCATCAGAAGCAAAGGCACTCTGAGTACGAAAGACACTCAGCTATAGAATCGTGTTGTTTTTTGGACTCCAGTTCTTTTATCTTCATTTCATAAACATTTATTGAACACTTACTAAGTTCCAGTTTTAGTTGCCATGGAGTCGATTCCAACTTATGACAACCCTGTGTGTGTCAGAGCAGAACTGTACCCCATAGGGTTTTCAGTGGCTGATTTCTTGGAAGTAGATCACCAGGCCTTTCTTCCATGGTGTCTCAAACTGACAGCCTTTCAGTAGTAGCTGAGTTTGGTAACAGTTTCCATTATCTGGGGCTGCCACCTACTAAGTAGTGATCATTATAAAGTTGAAAATGTTCTGCCCTCAAGTTGTTTCAGCCCAGTAGGAAAGGTGGATAAGTAAGACGTAATTACAAATACAGTGTCATGCTGTGATCAAGGTATATGAGGGGTAGCTCTGGTAGTGTAGTGCCTAAGGCACTTGACTGCTAACCAGAAGGCAGGCAGTTCAAACCCACCAGCCACCCCTCAGAAGGAAGGTTGGGCAATCTACTTCCATAGTGATACTGCCTTGGAAACCCAAGGAGGGGTGCTATGCTCATGGCACATAACAACATTTGGGTGCAAAGAAGAAACACTTAACCCTGGGGGGAAGGGGAGGGGGACTGGGGAGAACAATTGAGTAAGGCTTTGGGGGACATTCTGGCCTGAGCCTGGTAGGGAAAGGTGAGTAGGAATTAGCAAGATAAACATGGAGGGAGGGAAGAATATTGCCTGTGGGATGGGTTTGAAAGGCAGGGAACAGTTTGTTGCTGAGCTGTGAGATGCCCCCCACCCCCACCCTGTACTCCCCACCCCCCTCCAGGGGGAGGAAGCAGAAAGACTGCTCAGCCTCGGGGCTATGGCTGCAGCAACCACCATGAGGGCTCTGCAGTGGTGGGTTGGAATTACTCAAAATAAGGACTCTAACTAGGTCCTCATGGCTACGTTATGACCCCTCCCCCCATTTCCTTGTCAACCTTCTCATTCTTTCCCAGAATCTGTTCCAAGCATTCTTCAATTTCAAAGCACCATCCCTTTACCTCTCCAAGAAGACAACAATCATGAAAGCCTCACCACTTCCTGCTACCCCAAGCTTTCCCACATCAGACGAAGAGGTGTCCCTCCTCTTGTCTGAATCTCCATCCCAGCCCCTTTGCCTATCACCTTTGTATATTCCTCCACTGACTCCTTCCTGTTGTTGTTGTTGTTATGTGCCATCGAGTCGGCCCCAACTCATAGCGACCCCTCCTTGGGTTTCCGAGGCAGTATCACTACGGAAGTAGGATTGCCCAACCTTCCTTCCAAGGAGTGGCTGGTGGGTTTGAACCGCCAGCCTTCTGGTTAGCAGTCAAGTGCTCTAGCCACTATGCTACCAGAGCTCCTTCTCTATCAGCTTTAAACCTATTCATGATACTTCTCTCCTGGTAAAACATCAAACCTATCCAAAACTTTAACCAACATGATCCCTTCCAACCACCACATTCTTCCCTTTGTTGTTATGTGCCGTTGAGTCAAGGGCATGGGGGTACCATACTCATCTGACCTCTAACTTCACAAGGGGGAGACAGAATCACCATTAGCAGCCTAAGGCTTATTCTTATGAAGCCAGACATTTCACCACTCTCCACAGAGAGTGGATTTTTTTTTTTTTTTTTTTGCCATTTCTGACATCAACCATCCCTTCCAATAGCACTCACTACTTATGGTAGTTAAGGTTGTCAACTTGGCTGGGCCTGGTTGAGTGGCTGGGCAGCTGGATGTAGTTATTCCTGGTGAGATTGACAATCAATTCCATGGTGGAATCTACTAGAGCTGTTGAGTAGCTGCTTTAGAGATGTGGCTGCTTCCAGAATATTAGAAGCAGCTTTGAGGAAGGTCTCCAGCTTATGGAATGCTTGAACTCTGCATGTAGCTGAGTCATTGTTCAACAACCTGCCATGCACTGCCAATCTTGGGACTTCTTCTGGACTTGAATTAGTGGCCTGCTGTGTTGTTTGGTAACATTGGGACTGTGCCTTTTTACTTGTCAACCTTGGGCTTGCTGGCCTCAGTAGCCAGCAGCTGCCTGAGTGAAGAAAAGTCTCTAGCTTCAGTGGGCCAGGAGCTGGAGGCAGAGCCGAAGCCCAAGGTTGAAGGGCTTTTGCCCAGCCCCTAGAGCCTGGCACTTTGAACTTGGACTTAAGGTCTCCAAATTGTAAGAGAATAAACTCCTGTTTGTTCAAGCCATCCAATTTGTGGTATTTCTGTTAGAGCAGCACTAGGTAACCAAAACACTACTTCTTTGCTAGGTTGCAGTGGCCACACAGAACTAACAGACAGCACTCAGGATTATGGAGTTTATTAGGGAAGTAACTAGGCTACAATTCAGGTTCAGGAACGATCTCAGGATACAATTCTATCAATCAGGACAGTCTCCCCTCTGCTGTGCCCTCAGGCATGCCTCTCTGGCCCTTGGCCTCTCAACCTGGCCTCTGTCCTGCTTGAGCAAGTGTTACAAAGGTCTTTTAGCTCTGCCAATAGGTTCACCTAGGTGCATGCCACTCTGCTATCAAGGCTCCTGCCCAAAGGCACTCAGCTTTCTTGTTCCATGGGCTGGAAGCCCACCACTTTATCTTATGCTTCTTGGTTCCTCAGCCAGTCATCTGCCAATCATTTTCTTCATTTGGCTTCCATGACAAATACTCTTGGCTTTCCTCCATCTCAACTTCTCAGTTTTTGCTGAATCTATATCTAATCTCTAATCATGGGAGTGCCCAAGGATTAGTCCTTGGACCTTTTCTCTGTCTGCACTTACCCCCTAGGTGATCTCAGGCAATTCCACAATTTCAATTATTATTTCTACAGTGTCTACTAAATTCATAACTTCAACCTGAACTTCTCTCCTGAACTCCAGTCTCATGTCCAGCTGTGTACTCAATATCTCTATGTGGATATTAAAGGTATTTAATATGTATGAAACCTCCCATTGTCTACAATAAACTCAGTTTTCATGCCTGTTCTAATCTATTCGTTCCATAGACTTTTCTATCTAGGTAATGGCACCACCATTCACCCACTTGCTTGGGCCAAGAACTTTGGAATCACCCTTGGCTGCTCCTCCTCTCATGTCCTACATCTAATTCATCAGCAAATCCCATTTCATCTCTCTTCAAATCATATCCAGACTTGACCAGTTTTTAAGACTTCCTTTGCTGCTTAGTCTCAGCATCATCCCTCACCTGGATTATCACAAAGGTCTTCTAACTAGTCTCCTTTTTCTGCTCTTCCCATCTCCCCTCAATCTGTTCTCAACACAGATATTGTTTTTAAAATATGAGTCAGAAAATTCTTTGGGAAGAATATCTCCAGTAAGGGTCTAATCTGTAAAATATAGAGAAAACTTCAACAACTCAGCAACAAAAAGACAAACAATCCAATTAAAAAATGGGCAAAGGACAGGAGTAGACACTTCACCAAAGAGGACATTCAAGTAGCCAACAAACATGAAAATATGCTCATAATCTTTAGCCATTAGACAGATGCAAATCAAAAACTGCAATGAGATACCATCCTGCCCCTGGAAAAATGACGCTGACCAAATACACAGAAAACAACAAATGCTGATAAGGAAGTGGAAGATTGAAACTTTACCCATTGCTGATGAGATAACAAAATGACAAGCACTATGGAAAATGGTATGGCTCTTCCTTAAAAAGCTAGAAATAGAAATACCTTATGATCCAGCAATCCCACTCCTTAGGATATACACTAGAGATCTAATAGCAGTGTCTTGAATAGATAAATACACACCTATGTTTATTGCAAAAAGACTGGAATGACCTAAGCACCTATCAACAGATGAATGGATAAATAAAATGGTGTATACATACAACGGAATAATACACAACTACAAAAAATAATGATGAATCTGCAAAACATAACATGAATGAATCTGGAGGGCATTATACTGAGTGGAATAAGTCAAGGCACAAAAGGACAAATATTGTATCATACCACTTCTATAAAAAGACAAAATAGGTATACCTATGGCAATCAACATTCTTTGGTGGTTACTAGAGATGAAAGGGAGGGGTATCACTCTCTAGACAGTAGACACATGGTATTTTTTGGTGGTGGGAAAGGCAAATGTGGGTGTAGTGTGTACAACTTAACCAAAGTGAATGATGACAATAAGAAATACACAAGATTAAGAGATCTTTTTGGTAAATTCTATAACAAAATTTAGTAACAACATCAGTATTCCCAAAACATGTGAGTGGTTACCTAGGTAGATATTCATGCATGTATGTATATAGCAAGGCATATATGTGTATATACATGTGCATATACAGGTGCATATATGTTGTTGTTAGGTGCCATTGAGCCAGCTCCGACTCATAGCAACACTGTGTACAACAGAACAAAACACTGTCCGGTCCTGCACCAGCCTCACAATCCTTGCTATACCTGAGTGTATCGATGCAGCCACAGTGTCAATCCATCTCATTGAGGGTCTTTCCCTTTTTTGTTGACCCTGCACTTTACCAAGCATGATATACTTCTCCATGGTCTCTTCTGACAACATGACCAAAGTAGGTGAGACCAAGTCTGGCCATTCTCGCTTCCAAGAAGCATTCTGGCTGTGCTTCTTCCAGGACAGATTTGTTAGTTCTTCTGGTGTCCACAGTACTACCTGTATTCTTCACCAACAACACAACTCAAAAGCATCAACTCTTCTTCGGTCTTCCTTATTCATTGTCCAGCTTTCACATACATATGAGACAATTGAAAATACCATGGCTTGGGTTAAGTGCACCTTAGTCTTCAAAGAGA